TCCCCCTTAATAACCCCTAAAATAGTCCCCTAGATAACCCCCTATGTAACCCCCCTTTAAGGGGCTTGAACCCTAGAGCCTATATAATCCGCTATATAACCCCCTTTCAACAGTTTAGGCTATAGCTCATCTGATGACATCTGCCGGGCAATCAGAAGGAGATCTTTGCGGCTGTTGCAACTAGAATGCTTAAAGAGGGTTAAAGCGGGTCATAAAGGGTTTAGGGTCTAGGGTCCCTAAACCCTAAACCCTAAATACCTATTTATGCTTTCCCAAAATTAGGGGTATGCTTTCGGTGGTCCGCATAATGAGGGAAGTGCTTCTTCAAGCGATGTCTTGAAGAAGGACGCCCTGCTCACTCCCGTAGAGGGCTCTAGGGTTTAGGGTTTAGGGTTTAGGGTTTAGGGTTTAGGGTTTCGGGTTTAGGGTTTAGGGTTTCGGGTTTAGGGTTTCGGGTTTAGGATTTAGGGTCATTGGCAGGACTAACATTGACATTCCACTTCAAGTAAGGCCATCTTATCATCTTCACTGTACAGCTACCCTAAACCCTAAATTCGAAACCCTAAACCTATGAAAGCCGCATATCGTTCGGACATGGAACATGCTAACCCGCCTGGACTTGTGGCGGCTGCTGCCGCGACTGAACTCCGGAAGCACGCACCTCCTCTTGAGAGTCAATAGCTTTGTAGGGTTTAGGGTTCAGGGCTTAAGGTTTAGGGTTTAGGCTTTTAGGGTTTAGTTTAATTAGGGTTTCACAAAATTCGTGGTGCCGTTTGGGTGGTCCCCATGATAAGGAGTATACTATACTGGGGTATATATTAGGGTCCCCGTATTCAGGAAGCTACCACATAGTTTATTCACCGTTCAACCTGGCAACGACGTAATGCAACAATTCTCCTGGCCAGCCACAGTTGCCGCGAATATTTTGATGTGGGCTTCCAACCGATCAATGAACCACACCAAAGCTTTCAGAACCTTTGCAAATTAATTTAGTATTACTATAATATTGAGAGAAACTTGCTATAATACTAGTATAACATTATACTATCATAATATTATACTATCATAGTATTATAGTATTATAGTATTATATATTTTTTATAGTTTCTCTTCAACTTGCACACTAATCTGAACAATGAGACTCCGGCTTCAAGCACCAGGTCGAATGCATGCTTTTCTGATTTGGGAGCGATCTCACGCCTTCTCGGAGAAACATAAGGGTCGTCGGGATTCTCTGATGCATTCTCAAATCTTCCTCATGAACCCTTCCCACCCCAACCCTCTCGATTACACTGACCCCTATATACTATAGTAGTTTTCATTTTCTTTTCCATTATCCCCATATAACACCTATATACTGTAAATTTGTGCAGCCTGTGCTCAGGCCGAAGACTCCACCTCCGAGCTCCATACGAAGAGCAGGACGCTTGACCGCAGCTAGGCAAGCGCGTCGAGCATGGTTGAAATGTCTTTGACAGCAGTCTTGATCTGCGCCCTCGCTTGCTCCAGATAATTGGCGGCATTGTTTACCTTCCAGTCTCCAGAATTTGCATAACCTGACGAATATGCAAGGCCATCAGCATTGTCCACGGACGCCACAAACTCTTCCAAAGCATCCTGGAAGGCACCAGGATCGCTGGCCGCGGAGGCAACTGCCTCACCCGTCTTCTGGACCTGTGCAACAGGGGAGGTCGTGGCTTTGAGTGCGTTCCTCACAAGATCACCACTCTTGTTCTTCTTGATCGGCTCGTAGTTGGCGAGAAGGTCGTCCAGGGCCTTCTGTGCATCCTGCAACTTCTGGCGGGCCTCTTCAACGCTGACGGCCGCACGCACTGGGGCAGCAGCTGTTCCCCCGGCAAACGTTGCAGTGAGTGCCATGGCAACACTGCGCCTGCCTAGCGCCGAAGGCTGCTGGCTGACGCTCAGCCATGCTGCATTTGCTTCTGTGCATAACATGAGCAGTGGGAGCAACATCAGCAATGTCCAGGCCCGGAAACGAGATACCGCGCGCCCGGCACGCACGGCACGCTCGGGACGCACGGCCATGGCCAAGGCTATGAAAACCGATGGAAGGACGCCTCCAAAGTAATTTTCAGTATACAAATCTCCGCTTTTACCATGCTGTTGCTAATGCTGTTGCTGTGGTTTCGCTGTCACATCCCTACTGCTGTTGTAATCGTCGCTGCCGTGTCTGAAATTAGCCTGTGCCACCTTCAAAGACTTGGAGCCCATATGCTGCACAACTCGCATCATTACAAGCTTTGGCCCCGCTGCATAAAGTTGATCCAAATTACAACTGTTGTTGACACAATATTGATCTGCATCAATATGGAGCACACGTTCTGAAACAGGAGCAACGTTCCGAACTCCATTAAAGCAGACATGTTCGATCAGGCTGGTAGCACAACAGAATGCACATTGCATGCTTGCCCGAAACTGCATCTCGCACCGCAAACAACAACATATAGCTCATGCGGACATCCAGCAAGCTTTGTTGTGGCTGCGTGGACGGAAGTCAGCATTCTCTCACGGCAGGTATGTGCTAACGCCCAACGTTCAGCAACTTAATGATTTTTCCCATTTGGGCAACAATGCAAGAATCAGATTGGGCTTGTTGAACAAGGGACTGCACTTTATGATTCACGTTGTATACATGAACCTGCTATTGAGCGCTTTCTTCTTCCATGAAAAACCCTCAGCTTCGTCAAGCAATATTTGCAACATGCTCAAAGCAGCCCGCGCACCAAGCATTTGACGTCTTCAACGTCTTCCCACCATGCACTTAGAAAAAATGCGAAAACATGAATCTTCAGGCAAACTGACGTGGCATAGTAGGCAACTGCATCAAGACAAACGCAAGCAGAAGCATGTACCGGCTCATAAGGCGACATACGTCGCACAAAGCTCCGAACCCCGGTGATGATGTTGCAAAGACTTGGCCACACGTTCAGTAAAATGCCTGGAGCCACTGACAGGCCAAGCTGCGCAGGAGAAACTATTTTGTTCGACAATCCACACCCTCTGTGATTGTCCAGCACTTGGTGTTATTGACCGGTTCTGTTTGACCTTAGTCAGCCAACGTCTCGGAATATGCAAGTTTAGCTTTTTACAAAACCCAAAATACTGAAAAGATGATAAGGCCCCAATACGCTCATTCCCAACGGCATACACAGCCTACATAAAGTCTGCTAAAGAGGCTATCAGGGATATGCAAAGTCCCGTGAAAAAATTGAAAGATTATATAGCATGCATTGGGTCCCTTTAAAAGGGTTATAGGGCGTACCTAAAGTCCCTTGTGTAAATAAAGCGCTTATAGCGCCTACGTAGAAAAGTTCTATAATGTTTTTGGGGGGAGTGCTACAAGGCCTACATAATGTCCCTGTCCGTAAAGAAGGGTTATAAAGGCTAACGGGGTTAGGAGTCCCACATCGGTTCCCTCATTTTCCCTTGAAAAGGAGGACGGGCACTTTCAAATACATAACAACACATTAAAGAATCACAAATATTCGCGCACCTCATTAGAATCTTGAAGGTTCACTCAACTCACTAGCTAGTCACTAGCACAACACATGCAATCGGACAGCGACAAGGTCTTTCAATTTTTGCCCAAGGTTCTTTGAGACTGTACGCATGCACTCAAATGATTTTTCCCCAAAAGGATATCAGACGGTGAGCGCGGACCATCCCGCAACCCCCCGAACAACTTTGATTGCGGAACATCCCGCAAACTTGGTTTAAACGGGTGGGTGGGAGAAAATTTAAGCTGCTCTAGCGTCAGCCCCAAACACTGCCCACAAAGCAATCATGTACATGGACCGTTGACATCACATGCAATCATGCACTTGAACTCATGAAACACGAAACCCTTGTTTTTACAACACCTCTTTTAAACCACCTCCCCTTGGAAAAAAAATGCTTTGCGCAAGCAAACTGCTCCGTTGCAGGTGAGGGCGAGCACTCGCAAATACATAACGACATATCTTAAAATCACAAAATATTCACGGACCTCATTTGAATCTTGAAGGTTCACTCGATTCACTAGCTAGTCACTAACACAACACATGCAATCGGACAGCGACAAGGTCTTTCAATTCTTACCCAAGGTTCTTTGAGACTGTACGCATGCACTCAAATGACTTTTCCCCAAAAGGATATCAGACAGTGAGCGCGGACCATCCCGCAACCCCCTTGGAGAAAAAAATGCCTTGCGCAAGCAAGCTGCGATGTGGTCTTTTCTCCGGTTGCAGGTGAGGGCGAGCACTCGCAAATACATAACGACATATCTAAAATCACAAAATATTCACGAACCTCATTTGAATCTTGAAGGTTCACTCGATTCACCAGCTAATCACTAACACAACACATGCAATCGGACAGCGACAAAGTCTTTCAATTTTTACCCAGGGTTCTTTGAGACTGTACGTGCGCTTTGTCTTCATATCCAGCCCTTCCCAAAGTGCACCACAAAATTTAATACGAAGAATATTTCATAAAAGTGCAAAGTATCAAATACACATCTCACATTTTTATGAAGTTGCAAGACTTCCAAAATCGCGCTTACATCATATATCAAATTAAAGGACCGGAGAACCCCACATGTGTAGTTAAGCCTAGATTTACATGAGATGTTATTAGGATAGCGTCGCCCGGCGATATAGGAAGATATATTTAAAGGAATGCAAACTCTTGAGGCCACATGCCGCGGCGAAATGACGAGCACATTGCGCGAGCGCGAAGTTGGCATCAGCTGCATCTGGTGTGTATGTGTATGCATATGATCGCGTGTACTTTTCGCATATGGTTCATTGCCGTACTGAGTATATGAATGTGTGTCTG